AATGGTTAAAACTGAGCTAGCAATCGATAGTGAAGAAAAAAAAGAAAAAGTGTTTGAGAGCACTTTATAGCGAAAAAAGGCCAATTCTATTTATTTATTATAGCCATGACGTTATCTCTTTGGTATCAGCATGCTCATCAATTTGAGAGTTTTTCGGAAAATATGACATTACAATCATTTTCAATTTTAGTATTCGGTTAGTGTGTATGCCAGTACTTATTTTTTGAAACAAAATACTTATTTTTTGAGTCGTAAATAATTCATTGACTTGCTTATTTGAATAGGACGAGAGTTTCATTTTTTAAGCATGCACTTCATAGATGATATGTATATTGTCGATGAATTCGATGCCTTTGTTATACCAGATTCTGGTATGAATTTTTCGCAAATCGGAATAATTATTGAAATAGTAAAAAAGTTCAAAGTAAGTTCTTTATGATTTTAATTTATGCAAAGAGATACTTGTGACTTCAATAATAATTATAACTTTTTTCTGTAGATACGACTGATAAAGTATTATCGTCAACTTACCCAAAGGCCACGTAGGGTGACTCGATTTCCAAAGCCAGGATTACCAAATGATTCACAGTTAAAACTCAAAAGAAATCAAAACACTTTTTCTTCCGATAAAACAAATGATTTAGATGAAGAATTCTGAATAATTAGCTTTGGATAAACGTTTATAGCTTTTAGTTATTTAGACACAAAGTAATAGTTATTTCCAAACCAGAATATTTACACCAATATGTAAAAATTCGCAATTGTGGAAGCATAAATAATAAACTATATAGATCATATTTTACAATTTATAACTCTAAACATTTTTTGAAGTAATAGATATTACGTAGTTCGATTTGTTTAATGCGACAAATAACCATATATACAGTCTACCCCCTCTATAGTCACCTCCTCTATAGTCACAAAATCAATATAATCACATGTTTATTTTTTACCAACCTTTTTTATAGGGAATTGCTACCGGCACAGCAAAACATGTGACATAATTCCT